GACACAAAAGAGTAAAATTGCTTTCAAATCTTTTCCTTAAAATACTTTATGGATTTTCTTGTACTACCTTCTCAAATAGTGTTTTTGTTAGTTTTTACTATAATAGCAGTCAGGGAAAAATATGCTATTGGCAAAGAAAATCTCATCATCTTCTGGCACACTGCCCGGAGTCCTGTATATATTCACAACCCCACCAAAGGACTCTCATTCAGCTTTTAAAATTGTGCCGTATAGCTGAGTAGGTTATCCAAGACCTGACCAAAGAGGAAAAAAATCCAGTAATAAAATGCTCTACTGTATTTTGTACCTCTTTAGTCAGCTGGAGAAATCTTTAAGGCACCGTCGAGGGCTGCTGCAGTCTACTAAATGTTTCTGTCAGACAGCTTAACCTTTTCACCGTTCTCTTTGGGCTTCTGTCTGATCCATACAGCGTAGCTGTGCACACATGTGGAGTACTGCTGAACACTGCTGAACTGTTTTTATTCCATCAGTCATGTGTGTGCTGACATATGCATACCTGCATGTCTGCTGTCTGCAGATCCAGGTGTGTCCTCTGAAGACCTGCTGCAGACCTGCTGCACTGCTGGCCAGAGATGGGCCTCTGAAAATGGTCACTGCAAGAACATGCCTCTGCTCACTAATGACAACGTCTCTGTTTGCAGGTAAGTAACATGAGAGTATGAATTTTTAGTTATACAAATGTTCTTTGTGGTAGCTGCTGTACACTAACTGCACATGAACTACTTACTCATCGTGCTGCACATTATGCAAAGTATGAGTTACAGTCAGGATAACTGAACTCTCACTGCTGCCATTTCCTACACTGCCCCACAGAAAATAAATTTTAGTGCAAAAACTGACCTTTATTACCTTTATAATTTAGACGTTTTGATTATACTGCAGTTGAATGTTGATAACATTGTAACCACTGCACGCTGTCTTATATAAACTATATTAGAATACCATCATAGCTGATTTAACTGATTTATCATAGACAAATAACGAAATGGTAAAAATAGTGA